CAGTCTCGAGGCTTGAACTCAGGGCCTGGGTACTGTCCCTGAGTTTCTTTTTGTTCAAAGGTAGTGCTCTACAATTTGAGCCACCTTTCCATGTCTGACTTACTTAGTAATTTAGTGTACAAACCATTGTCCTCAGATCTTAGCCTCCTGAGTAGTTAAGATTATTAGCATGAGCCAATTGTGCCCATCTTAACTCATTTGTTTTGTTTTGGTAGATTATGGGGCTTGAGCTCTGGGCCTGGGCGCCATCCCTCAGCTCTTCAGCTCAAGGCTAGCTCTCTACCACTTGAGCCACAGTGCCACTTCCGATTTTTCTGGTGGTTTATTAGAGATGAGTCTCATGGACTTTCCTGCCTGGGCTGGCTTTGAAGGGTGATCCTTAGATCTCAGTCTTCTGAGTAGCTAGGATTACAGGCTTCTTTTGCTCAAGGCTAGCACTCTACCACTTGAGACATAGCACCATTTCCAGCTTGTTCTGTTTATGTGGTACTGAGGAATCAAACCCAGGGCCTCATGTATGCTAAGCAAGCACTCTACCACTAAGCCACATTCCCAGGCCTGAATGATTGTTTTAACATGTACAATTTAAGGGATTCATGAAAACCTGTCACCTGTCTTGCTGCTGGAACCTTAGCAAGGCCATTCTGCCTGTTGCTTTTTGTGCTGTACCCTCCATGTTCTTCAGTTACTTTTCTCTGTGAGTCAAGTTCTTGCTTACCCCACTGCTTCTTGTATAAATACTTATTGAATATATTACAGGAATCATACTGAGTGCTACGAATACACATTTCCTACTTTCTAGTAGGACATGCCAAGGAATCAATTAAAATATAATAATATATTAAGTGCTGTCTTGGAAGATAGGCAAGAAAAGAGGAGGGTTTGAATGAACTCTTGAGTATAAGGGCCAAACAGAATAAAAACAAAATTGTTTGAAAGACTATCCAGCAGTACCAGGGACAGTGGCACAGGGACAGTGGGTTTATTTTAGATAATTGAAAATGACTCAGCTGGTCGCAGGTGGCTCATGTCTGAAATCCTAGTTACTCAGGAGGCTGAGATTTGAGGATCACAGGTCAAAGCCAGTCCAGGCAGGAAAACACATGAAACTCATTGCCAGTTAACCAAAAAAAGCTGGAGGAACTAGAGCTATAGCTCAAGTGGTAGAGCCCTCGCCTGGAGCAAAAATACTCTTGAACAGCATCCAGGACTTGAGCTTGAAGACTGCCCCCTGTTCCCCCACAAAAGTGCTAAACAAGAACTGAGTTCAATCCCCAGTACTAATATGCACGTGCGTATGTGTGCCTGCATGCGCGCGCGCACACACACACACACATAATAAATCATCCCTTCCTAGAATCAATTTAGGCCAAGTCTGAGAAGTATCTCTAGGCTTTTTGTGTGTTTGGAGACATAATGTCAATTTGTAATCCAGGTTGATTTTGATCCTGCCTTAGGCTTATGAGTATGTATCTAGGTTTTTGACATGTCCATGATCGTGGAACACTCCACAAAGAGAAGGAGCCTTGCAGAATGTGAAGGGTTGCAGTTGGAAAACACCATGACCTCCTTTGCAGTCTTGGATTGTTAAATTTCTTTCATCCTGTCCAGATAGAATAGACTAGGGAAAATGGAGCATGAGAATCAAAAGCCAGAAGCTTAAAAAAAAAAAAAAAAGCAAGTGAACGCATAGTTTGATGAACAGCATATAAACCTTCCCTTTTTTTGTTGTTCGATTGTTTTTGTTGGTCATGGGGCCTGAACTCTGGGCCTGAGATCTTCAGCTCAAGCTAGTGCTCTGCCACTTGGGCCACAACACTACTTCCAGTACCACAACACTATTTCCAGTGTAGTCTGTCTGCTTATGTGGTGCTGAGGAATCAACCCAGGGACTTATGCATGCAAGGTAAGTGCTCTACCACTGAGCTACTCTCCCAGTCTCCTCACATGCAGCTCCCTCCCTCTGGCCTTGCCCACATGTTCAAAAAATTACTATGTTCTAGGACAGGAGGAAAGACTATCTTAAAGACCCCTGGAAAAATAATTCGGTAAAATGACACATTTGATTACAGAAGTAATCAAGAATAATCATTTTTTTTTCTTTTTGCAAAAAAAAAAAATAAGGAAGGATACTTGTCTCTAAAGGCGCTCAGGTAAACTCATCTCTTACCTCAAAAGGAACACAGAAGGAAATGGACATCATGTCACAACAACCCTAGTAACCTAATCAGACCCCCACCAATAACCAGTAACATTTCAAGAAGCAAATTGGTCTCTTCTAAGTTATGGAATCCCTCTAAGTTTCCAGCTCTGGCTCACCTAGGAAGTCTAAAAATACTGATACTACATATTAGGACAATGGTTTCTTCTGGTGTGTGTCAGGGTCCATTGAGAAGAGACATGGGAGAATTTTCTAGAGTGATGAAAATGTCCTATTTTTTTTTTTTTTTGGTTAGTCGTGGCCTTTGAACTCTGGGCCTCCTGGGCACCTGACCCTGGCTCTTGAACTCAAGTCTAGCACTCTATCACTTTGAGCCACAGTACCACTTCATCCTATATCTATTGAATGAGACAAGCCAAGCTCATAAAACAAGATATTCTATATTTTCACTCCTATGTGGACTGCTAAAAGACATACATCTTCATGAGCATAAACAGAAGTATATGGACTTTATTATATATCATATATATATTTATATTTAAAATCATATATTGAGGCCAGCCCAGGCAGAAAATTCCGAGACTCCTTTCTCCAAGTAACCAGCAAAAGAAAAGAGCCTAAATTGGAGGCGTGGCTCACAGGCACAATACAAAAATTAAAATACTCTGATAAACATTCCATGTGTAAATTATGCCTCAAGACTGAAGTGTGGATCTTTTCTTTTTCCCGAATGGTTTTAAATACTGATGCTCTTTTCTGACCCGGTTATATTCAAATCTGCACCGCAGCTGGTTCTGATGCGCAGCCGGGAGTGTCGATCCACGCCGGGCTCTGCGGCCCGGATGCCCTGGCGGCCACTTTTCGGCGCCCCCTACCTGTCCGAGGACCCCAGGGGCGCGGCGGGAGGCACTGCACACCCTGAGCCTGCCGATCCCCGCTCTGCAGTGGCGGCCGGATCTGGAAGAGAAGCCACCTTCCCAGATCAAGTAGAACCCCAGTCTGTGCGTACAAACATCCAGGTAACGCTGAAGCCCGAACAACAAGTTGCACAATGGCCATAAAGAACCCTTCCTGCATAGATGGGCGGCGGGCCTCGTGGCGCAACGGTAGCGCGTCTGACTCCAGATCAGAAGGTTGCGTGTTCAAATCACGTCGGGGTCAACTTGTTTTCTAAGCAGTTACAATTTTTTTTTTAACCCTCTGTATTTAACTCTTATCCAACCTCAAGTCAGAGGAGAAATAAAGATGGAGTTCACGGGGATTTCACAGTGTTGTTTGTTTTCTGCGCTGAGGTTTTTTTTTTTCTTTTTTGGTTCTTGAAAGGTTTCTTACAACCTACTGCTTTGGTGACTCAAGCTGCTCGGAAATCGGGCGTGTTCATATCCCAGAGAGAAGAAAGCAGACAAGAACGGTGTAGACGAGGTGGCCGAGTGGTTAAGGCGATGGACTGCTAATCCATTGTGCTCTGCACGCGTGGGTTCGAATCCCATCCTCGTCGACGCGCTAAAGTTGGCTTCCCAGTCAGTTTTATGGTTTCTCAACACCCAAGTTACAGATATCATTGCTCTATCAATCTGATTGTCATTTCATCTTCATTTTCCCTTTAATTGCATGTCGGTCTCTCGTGAAGTGGACCTGGCCAAGGAATCAAGGCCCCGTGTCTTGTGCTTTGGTGCCGTGGCTTAATTGGTTAAAGGGCTTTTCTGGTAAGTAGATAAACCCTGGGTTCAAATCCCAGAGGTTCCCCCTCAGGGGTCACTAAACTTTCAGGGAGAATGTTCTTGTAGTTTGCTTTTTTTTTTTCTTTTTCTTTCTTATCAAGTTAAATTATATGACTTTTCCACATGTCCATGCATCTTCTCTCACCCCAAACGTCCATTTTTTTTGGTTTGGGCAAAGGTGCTACTATCCTGTCCTTTGTGCGTGCCATTAATTGCTCTCTGACTTACAATTAAAAACTAATTCTATCCATCTCTGTGTTTCCGTTTTGCCGTTAAGTTGAATTTAAGTGTTTAAAGGATCAATTTATGTATGTGTTTTCATGTCTTTTAAATTATTCTATCCCTACAGATGTTTACTGGACAAAGCTTAGTATTAAGTAGTATTAGTTGGATACATTTATATACTTTCAAACCAGCCTTGAGAGCTTAGCTGGCCGGTTAGCTCAGTTGGTTAGAGCGTGGTGCTAATAACGCCAAGGTCGCGGGTTCGATCCCCGTACGGGCCATCTTCGGCAGATCCTTTTCTCTCCAGTGTAATTGCATCGCTCCTTAAATAGTATTTCATCCTAAAACACTTAACATATTAAAAAGAAATTGCTTGGTATTTTTTAAATGGGAGTACTAATAGTTATTTTGACATCTCAATACTATACTCAGTACTATAGCATAGTCTAGAACTACATGAACTATAAAAAAGAAAAGACTGGTAGTGACTGAGATTGTTTCAAATACTAAAGTGTAGTCAAATCAGTAAGGCAAATGTATCATGATTAAGCTGTCAAATGCTCCTTCCTCCACAGCCTAAATATCAGTCTACCATCCCACACCAGTCCAGGAGGCTCTAAGAAGTTAACCCCTTCTTCCCTCCCCCCCCCCTTCCCCCATTCCAGAAACCTAGTTTGTGTCTCTTCTTTCATTCTGGGCCCCTGTATGTGATCTGTCTCACATTCCCCCTCTAACATCTACTGCTAACAGCAGGAACTATATCCTTCCCCAGCTAGCCAGGGAACTCCACTACTCCCAGTATCCACCCCAAGGAGAGCTCCATGAAGAGCAACTTTTATTCCCATCCTTTGGCTAGTCAACCCCCAGAACCCCATACAGACAAAGACTCAGCCTTAGCAGCAGCAGCAACACTTTTAATTCCACAAAAACTCAGAAAGCCAAAACTGATTAGAACACTCCACAACAGGTGGGCTTCAAAACCAGCGACAATTCTTCTTGAACCCTGAGAGCAGTGAGACCCCTCCTACCTCACCTCCACCACCACGCAGCGCGTTCCTCCCAGCTACACTCCAGTTCAGGCTAGGAAAGTGGTGTGGTAAGCGACCAGGGAGAGAAGCAGGAGGTGATTCATCTTCACGTATGTATCTTGCCTGCATGGTGTGCGACCAATGACTACTCAAGCTCCCAAAGCCCCTGACACCTGAGAATATGGCCACGGAGTCAGATGGCCACATTGGGGCTGGGGGCCTCCTCTGTTCCCTTCTCTTGATCACAAAAATGGGAGTCGCGTCCCCACCCTCAAGCCCAGACTCAAGGCGCTGGGTTCCCAGGGATGGTGCTCTAGCTAGGGAGAAAGAGTTGGGGGAGAAGAGGGTAGCAATAAATGGCTAAATTAGTAGAAGCAGAGCAACATCCCGTCCCACTAAAACTGTTAGGACTTCCCCAGTACACCTCCTGCAGGCCCCAGTGAGCCGGCGGCCACAGATCAAGTTAGATGCATCTCCAACACACAGGCTCCTGGGGAAAGAGTCCTCGGGGTCCTGCTGGGCCCCGCGTCCTGGGGCCAGGAAACGGCCTCTTCGTGCTCCTGATCACTTGCACAGGGCCTCCAATACTTCCAGTGTGCGTCGGATGTCTCGGACTTGGCGCGCCAGCCCCTGCACCGGCTGCAGCGCCCGCTCCAGCTCCTCGCAGCGCGCCAGCAGCGTGTACATGCCCTTGATGCTCATGTCCACCGCTTCCCCCAGGGAGTCCACGGCGTCGCGGTAGGTCTGGATGCAGCCCACGCTCAGCGCCGTCAGCTCCTGCACCGCGCCTCCCAGCCCGCGCAGCAGACGATCCACCCGACCGCCCAGTTCCCGACTCAGCCGTTCCAGATCCCGCAGCACGTCAGGGTCGATGGGCGGGATGCTGGACGCGGGGGCCGGGGGCAGGCCTGGCCGCGCCGGGGCCGGGGCCAGGGCGGCAGGGGC